AAAATAAGTAGCAAAATTATTGGACCAAATCAAATTCACTTAAAAGATCCTCTACAAACAAAAGGTTTGCAAAGAAGGCCAAGAGCATTGTGGAGTGTGTGCCTCACCCCCTTCATTGTGAATTCACACTCCTTCCATTTGTGAGACCTACAGTGTGACCCCAGTTGTAAGATTAACAGACTGAGGAAATGATTCATTCCCACTGGAATATTTCTCTCAAACAATGCACAATTATCTCCTGTAATACTATTTGTACTATTGTATTGGTTTACTGGAGTGTGCCATATTAAATCCCCCAGAGGATAATAAAGCTTGAATTTAACTGAAAAGGTGACTTCTACACTCAGAGAATTGAAGAATTGTAGGTTTTCAAAAAATAGCCTATTGCAGGCATACATTTTCAAGTAAAGACATTATGAGGTTCTGTGATCAAAGAAAGAGTGACTTAAAAATCCAACAACTGATAATTTCTTCACTTCTATGACTATTATATTCATTAAAGTTACATTGAAAAAATTGTATTTTTATTTAGGAGCTTATTGTTGGCAGTTATAGTTATATATATCCTATGTGCAATAACTATTTCTAATTGCATAGCCCCTATCTGTTTTAACCAAATCAAATCTGGTCTTGACTCTCAGATTCGGTATGGGCAGCGGTATGGGCAGCACTGCACATAAAATTCTTTCCAATTTTTGCAATACAGCAAAGTAAAGCAAGCACATGCGGTCTAGAATATATCAAAGGGGGGCTACATTTCTTGTACATAAGGCATATTCTCTACTCATACCACGTGGCTCATACTTACGGAATGTCAAAAACCTTGTTAGAATGTATTGAGGATTTGTACTACTGCATTATGCCCAAAAGATGGCGGTATTGTATAATTATTGTAAGTGGGGGCGGTTCCTTTGTTTAGTAATGTAACATATAAGTAACAAATTATAATAATAATAATTGCTTACACTTATATAGTGCTTTTCTGGACACTCCACTCAAAGCACTTTACAGGTAATGGGGACTCCCCTCCACCACCACTAATGTGCAGCATCCACCTGGATGATGTGACTGCAGCCATAGTACGCCAGAACACTCACCACACACCAGCTATCAGAGGGGAGAAGAGCAGAGTAATGAAGCCAATTCATAGATAGGGATTATTAGGAGGCCATGATTGGTAAGGGCCAATGGGAAATTTGGCCAGGATGCTGGGGTTACACCACTACTCTTTTCGAGAAACGCCCTGGGATTTTTAATGACCACAGAGAGGCAGGACCTTGGTTTTACATCTCAACTGAAGGATGGCGTGCATCTGTTTTACAGTATAGTGTCCCTTTCACTATACAGGGGCATTAGGACCCACATAGACCGCAGGGTGAGCACCCCCTGCTGGCCCCACTAACACCCCTTCCAGCAGCAACCTTAGTTTTTCCCAGGAGGTCTCCCATCCAGGAACTGACCAGGTTCACACCTGCTTAGCTTCAGTGGGCTGCCAGTTGTGAGTTGCAGGGTGAGATGGCTGCTAAAATGAGGCAGCATTGGGTCCATGGTGTGCCACCTGCGTAGTTTTATGTTCTCTTCATGTTAGCATGTTTTTTTTTCAGGGTTTCCTCCCACAGTCAAAAGACATAGTGGTAGGTTAATCGTATTCTCAAAAGATTAGCCCTGGTGTGAATGTGTGAATGTCTGTACTTGTATCTGTGTGTCTCATCTGGAGTTTACTATGCCTTGTACCCATTACTTGCCAGGAGAGGCTCTGGCCCTAGATAATGGGTGAATGAGTAACAGATGCAACTCTGTATCAGAAGAGTCACAGTGCTCTTGCCCACATACAGTACTACATCAGATCTCTGCTGCTAGAGAGCTTTCTGGATTCCAAGAGGTAATTTCATCTTCTGTGCCACTGAGTTATATTATATATACTGTATGCACATACAGTATCAGTGCACAGTAAGAAGGCAGCACCTCATATTTAACAGCACATGGTACAGCGGTGACCTATAGAATCTACTTGACACTAGTAACGTGTTAAATATTATGTTCCCCTACATTTTTTGCAGGGATAATCTTTATATTCTGTGTAAGAGATATGATTACAAAACCAGACTTGTGGAAGTTGGTCTTAGGGAAAGAATTACAGCTAGGTTACAGAGTTGAAACAGTCCATCTCTTGTCCGTTTAAATCAGCCCCTTTTCCCTTCTTTGTCTCTATTTTCTTTAATATGTGAGCTTCTATCTCTTGTGTGTGTTTTGTTTTTTGTCTGGCATTTTAATTTGTTTTATAACGAATTAAGTAATTATTCAAAAAAGACTGTGACGGATGTCTTGTAACACTGTAACTACTGTGCTTTAGTGAAAGCTGATATTTTTGCATTTTACCAGCTGCAGCAGGTGTACTTTTGTGTTACAGTTATCTGTATTGAGAAATAAGAAAAGTGTGACTGACAGTGATCTTTAATTTAAACTAAACTAATGGGGATATGTATATAGTTGTTACAATATAATAACAACTATTATATTATAAAATAAATAAATATGATGAGCCAAGAGGTTACCTTTAAAAGAAATTAAGTAAAACTTATTCAATACCGTGTGTATGGAGCAAATCAATAGAACATCACATCACTATCAATACCTTCTTATCCAATTCAGGGTCACAGTCGCACAGAGCTTATTCCAGGAAGCACTGGGCTCAGGGCAGGATACACCCTGGACTCCAGTCCATCACAGGAAACACACAGACACAAACACATAATCTAACACAAGGACCAATTTTTCAAGAAGCCAATTAACCTACCAGTATGTCTTTGGGCTGTGGGAGCAAACCAGAGTACCAGGAGGAAACTCAAGTGAACACAAGGAGAACATGGAAAAATCTACGCAGGCAAGACCCCAGGAATGAACCCAGGGCTCATGCCAGCCTTATCAATAGAACATGTGGTTCTTATTTCATAACTGATGTATCCAAGAAGAAGAGGTGAATGCTGAAACCAGTGCCTTGGGCTGCTCCATGCTGCCAGGAGTGGAACTCTGTGCCATTGATGAGTCCACCTCCCCACCTGGCTCTCCCATGCTGGGACCCATTGGTATTGGGTACCTCCCAGTGCAGGGTTATCCTGCTTTGCTGGTTGGTTTCTGGTGGGGGAGCTGGGTTCTTGCTGGGACCAGTATGGTGCCTACCAGCCACCACACACCGCTGAGCCTTCAATAATCCTTGACTAGATCTTTTGCCACCTACTCTGGCTTCACGATACCTCCCTCTGCAATAGCTTGCACTTCCTATGGTTGAGAAAGAGCACAGCACAGTCCAAGATGCAAGATGCGGTGGTTTTTGAGAGCTACTTCAAAAGTATGAAGCTTCACCTTTAAGTTGTCCAGGTAGAGGATATAATGCATTCAGGGAACAGATACCAGTACTAGAGTCTCTCAAAAGTGTCAGGGGCAAATCAAATCAAATCAAAAGGCTTCGGCTCCTACCTAATAAAGATGGTGCTCTTTGATTGGACATTCTTGGCATGCTTGACCTGCCAATAGCTAACTAAATTATATTTGATATAGATGGAGGTATAAACAAACAATAAATCTTATTGGCCTATAGAAATTGATTGCCATAGTAGAAAATGGAAGTGGAACCAGAAATGAACAGCAATAAGTCTCTTGTTTCTTTTTGTTCTATGAAATAAGAGCTTTGAGAAGTTTTCTTAATGCTGAGTTGTGTTACTGCGGCAGACCAGACTTCCCTTGCCCGAGCAGTAGTCTCTAGCACCTCTTGGGGGATTCCCATGCATTCCCAGGACAGCTGAGGGTCTCTTCCCAGTGGGCTGTGCCTGGAACACCTCCAGTTGTAGTCACTTGTAGGGCAGCCTCACCAGATCCTCAAACCACCTCAAATGGCTCCTCTCGATTCTGGAGGAGAAGTGACTCCTGGGTTGTCATGGAGAGCAAGTCCGGTTCAGAATGCTAAATAATGAATGTGGACATTTGTGTAGCTGTAACTCCATTACATTTCAATTTCTGGTACATTTTGTTTAATTTTTAAACTGGTTATGTCATGTGTCCAAGAAATACACCCATCTTTAATATTATTGTATGGCATGGCTGAATGCTAGTATGACTTACATTTGAAGATTTGTCTGTATGTATTTGCAGAGACACGTATCAATTGCTAATTTGTGAACTGTTTTTAAGATACATAGTTGTTTTTGTGGCATTCTCAAAATCTCACACTCCTTGTTAAAAGCCAGCTACACAATATCAGGTGAAAATGTATAATCTAATATCACTGGCTGACTTGTGATCTTGTTAAGATCTTTCAGTAAGACCATTGTACATAATGGTGTTATATGTAATACATTACATTTTTATATGCAAGAATCATGCCCCATCACTGAAATAGAAATGAATAAATAAAACAAATTATGAATGTTTTTTAATAAAACATTTGATTTTTTATTTATTTTCTCTTCATGTTTGAGAAGTTACAAGATTTATATACTGTAGTACATGACCTTACATTTCCCATAATTACATAAGAGTCATTAATCTTTCTTGTTTGGACAACTTATATGTTATTACATAAATATTGAGTATTAAAAACATAACATTCACATTTTGTTCCTACTCTTAACTTCAGGTATCACATAACCGAGCTTTTCTTTGATACAGACAATCAAATAATTATGCCTTTTGTGTATCAAGCCAAAAAATATTAAACATATTGAAAAGCATTTTGGTTTCGAAAAACAAGAATACTGATGTATGCCACAGTAAATGTGATAATTCCTGTATAATTTAACATTATTTTTTTTCTGTAAATACAGATACAACAACAAAGCTAACGATTTTAATAAATAAAATAAATAACCCACAAAAAAATTGTGAATCTTTAAATACATACTGCAACTAAGAACAAACAATTATACTAAAATACTGTTTCTGGTGAATAACAAGTGTAGTGAGATGATTCTTCTCGTACTAAAAGAAAATCTTCAGGCAGAAAATGGATATTCACTTCTTAGTCTGAAACAGTCGGACCTTTTTATTTTTTGAAGAAACTTCGTAAATTGTCTCAGGAATTGGAAAGTGGACGTATCCTGTACTTCACAGTCTGGTACCTGGTGCTGCATACAAAAAATCAACCAAGCATTAGATTAGAATTGGTCTCTATCTTGTCTATCAACTGTGCTTTGGGGTAAAGAGGTCTGCCTCAAAAGGAGATTTTGTCAACAGAAAACAAAATTGGATGGCAGTTACATACAGTACACTTAATAAAAGAAAAATGCTTAAAAACTTTTTTAAATTGTCTACATAGCCCATCAGTGCAGTATTGATGCAAAGCTGAATTTCAGCAAGTTTTTTTTATTTAAATCCGCTCAACTCAACTTAACTTAAAACAGTCTTGATTCCCTTTAACTAAATCTAACTCAAAAGTCCTCTGTCAATTGTTTGAATCAATCTTTAGAATGAAATCTTTTTGTGATCATGTTTAGCAAAGAGAAAACCAGCAATTATTTGCAATCCAGTATAGCAGATGTATTCTGATTAATGTACACTTTCAGTATAAACCTTGACTTGAATTTTGTAATTTCTATAACCAAACATTGTCCTTTTTTAAAATTGCTTAGTTGTAGAGCACAATTATGACCCCTGTTTTTTTTTCCTTTGGGTATTTTTCTAAAATTTCTACCTCCCAAAATGTGATTGTGACCTATTGTATATTTATATAAATGCAAAAACAGTTTGAATGATATTACACTGTGCAATTCACTTATTCACTACTTGACAATAAATAGTTGTTGATAGAACATTAATTCTAAAAACATTTCATTCAGTTAAAAAGTTCTGAAGAAAATTATTTTTGAACTGTAGCACAAAAATCTATAATAAAAATTTACCTTTAGATTTGGGCAAATAACATCCATTCTTTCCATATTGTGTATAATAAGTTTTAATTCTTCTTGTGAGCCATGTTCTGAATGCACAGACAGATGTTTTATTCCTTTAAGAAAGATCTTTGAGTATGAAGCAGTACAATTGGCATTCTGCAGGGAATAAATAATTATTTATTGTTATTAGAGAATATGTCATTTACAAGAACAAAAAGAAGCAATTATTAAATGTTCTGTTCCACCCTTAATTCATATATCAAAACCAAGAATTTAAGAATATTGTTAATAGCATAAGTAATGTTAATTATGTTAATTATACCATTTAAAAAAGGGTATTGAACTTTTCACTATGGAAAAAATAATTAAATTCAAAATGTAGATGTAAAACAGAATATTTATTCTTAATTTAAACAGATGAGATCAAGACATGACCATAGAATACTAAAAAAGGTGCTAACACATTAACATCAACTAAAATTCATTTTATATTACAGTGGTGAAAAAGAAAAAGGTAAAGAAAGTTCAAACACTTACCAATACATTCTGTGGTGTCAAAAGGATTGTGTGTACTACGCCCTGGATTTAAAAAATAGAATAAAACATTTTACATCATATTACATGTTTGTTTGAACAAACTTTTCCACATTCATTCCCTCATAAAGTAAAGATTTTGACTAGAAAAATAATTAAATTATAAAACGAATAAAAATATACCTGTTTTGCATTCTCTATGTGGCTTATGATTTCACTGATGAAGTGGTAGTGCTGTGTACGAACACCCGAGTAATGTACACCCAAGATCAACAACACCAAATACATGGACATGTTTCTTTGATTCTGCATTGCAAAGTGCTTGGAAAAGTTGCCTGTACTCACAGTTGTCATCATCTGTCTTTTATACATACTTTAACAATGGAAATAGAGCAACTTGCTCAGCAAATGTAGAAACACAGCTCATATAGGATGCAACGTAATTCTGATGCAAAAAGAAAAGGAAATACCTCTGTCAAAGATAATCTTCAAGAAGTTTTTATGTTAATCTAGATTTGTGACATGTACAGTATGACTTTATTTCCTTTTCCATTTCTTTATCTACAGATTAATATATTGCTCATTCACTTAAGATAAGATTAATATACAGAATTTACAGTCTCTAGAGGTTTTCCTTAAAAGGCAGTAAAAGTAATCCTTGATCTGAAAATGATTACCCTGATGAGAGTTGGAGCAAAGCAGAGCCTGTCCCAGAAGGGCACAAAGCAGGGGTGTGATCACATGACTCCTCTTCCCCTGGGCAGGACCCCAGACCTCTGCAGACAAAGTGGGGAATTGAACAATTTAAGAATAGCCAATCAAACCCTGTCTTTGAAGGTGGAATTCCACACAAAAGTGGGAAGAGCATGCACAGTTATACATCAGGGGTCTGGAGACAAACCCAGGGCCCTAGAGCTATGAGGCATCAGAATAACTCATTTGCCACTCTGCTATCTTAAATTAAAACATAGCAAAACCCTAAAGCAAACAAAATTCTCAAACTACTATCATATACTAATAAGCACGTTCAGGAGAGCTTGTCAGTTTACACTGAAAATCAATCAATCAAAGTTTATTTATCAAATGCACAACAATATAGCATCCAGCAGTAGTTGCTGGCAATGACATGTCTTTTCTACGAGGTCATGGGGGAGAGATAAAAATCACAAAATGAAGGTTACAAAATAAGGTAACATAACAATAGATAATGTAATCGAAAATTGAATTAAAATAAACACAGACAAAACTCAATATAAATAGAGCTGCTATGTGTCCAGTGTGTATGCAATATATTATGTCCAAGTAGTGCAGTATGGCGAATACATTGAAAACTGTATTTCCATGTAGCCATTACCGGTGATTTGCTGAAGGAGCTGCAGGTTGACGATTTAGCAGTCTTATTGTCTGGAGGTAGAAGCTGTTCCATAATCTGTTGGACTTTGACCAAATGCTTCGGTACCATTTACCGGACGGTAGGAGAGAAAACAGTTTGTAACTGGGATGACTGGGGTCCTTTAAAATGGACCTGTACTTCTTTAGACAGCTAGCTGAGTAGATATCCTGGATGTTTGGTAGCTCACAGCCGGTAATGAGCTGCGCTGACATCACCACTCTCTGCAGTACTTTGCAATCCCGGGCAGAGCAGTTCCCATACCAGGCAGGGATACAACCAGTCAGGATACTCTCAATAGTGCACCTGTAGAACTTGGCCTGGATATGTGATGGCATGCCGAAAGAATAGGCGCTGCCGTCCTGTTTTGACCAAGATGTTGGAGTGGTGGGTCCAGGTTAAGTCCTCTGTGATGTTAACTCCCAGGAACGTAAAACTGATGACGCTCTCCACTGCAGTCCCATTGATATAGATAGGTATGTGATCTCCTCCCTGGTGTTTCCAATAGTCCACAATCATCTCCTTAGTCTTACTGATGTTCAGAGAGAGGCTGTTCACCTGGCACCATGCTGCCAGGGTTTCAACCTCTTCCCTGTACGCAGACTCTTCACCATCTGTGATCAGGCCAATGACTGTTGTATCGTCCGCAAACTTAATGATTGAATTTGAGTTATGCCTGGCGACACAATCATGGGTAAATAAGGAGTAGAGGACAGAGCTAAGCACATAGCCTTTTGAAAGGCTCCAGTGATTAGAGTCAGGGAAGAGGATATGTTGGTGCCCACCCTCACCACCTGTGAACATTCCATCAAAAAGTCCAGGATCCAATTACAAAGGGAGGTGTTCAGTCCCAGGTCCTGGAGCTTGATGACAAGCTATGGTATTGAATGCTGAGCCATAATCAACAAACAGCATTCTCACACATGTTCCTTTCTTATCCAGGAGTGAGAGGGCAGTATGGAGGGCAGTGGCAATAGCATCCTCTGTTGACCTGTTCTGGTGATATTCAAATTGCAGTGTGTCTAGGGTGTCAGGCAGTGAGAAGGTGATGTATGCTTTGACCAACCGCTCGAAGCACTTCATGATCACTGATGTGAGTGCAACAGGGAGGTAGTCATTCAGGCAACTGACTCTGAGTTTCTTAGGATGCTAAATTAGGATTTAAAATTAAATTAGGATGCTATTATTCTTGATGATGACTAGGAGAGAATTGTACAGGTGAGGAGCACAGTGCCTGAAGGTTTTGTTTATGGGAGCAGAACCAGCAATTAAAGGACTTTTAAGTTCCTCTGTCCCTGTCTTGTTACAACTGGACTTTTTAAGGAAAAACATACATAATTTTAAAGTGTTGACAACAGTGGAGGCTGTAAACACAACAACAGCTTCTTTGAATTTAAAGAATTCTTTGAATTTTATTTCAGATGCGAAGATACCAGAGGTGATCTTACATACAGGATTATACCTGTATGTTGCTTTGCTTTCTTCCATTTGCATTGTTTTTCTCCTTACATGCCTTCACCAAGTAGTACAGAGAATAACAGAAAGCCCTGAAAGAGGTGGATAAAGAGAAAAACATGCTTAGCTCTGTTATTACTGCCTCAACTACAGAACTGTGAGCACCATGTCAAAGACAATAAAAAGGACACTTCCTGTCAATTCATTTCAGACAACAGACCAACCAATATACTTTAGAATGAAATAAACCAACGTTTAGCTCTATTGAGCTGTGCTTTTACACAGGGACATTACCCCGTCTAAACATGAGCTTTTACTCTTCCTAGCCAAGATTATAAATGTAATATAATGAAGCACGGGTACTACTTCAACACCTTTACATGAGTTAGTAATCTACTCTACTTCCTTCTGGTAACTCTTTTATCGGTTTCTCTATAGTTTCTCACTCTTGAAACTCTTTAGCCATTTAAAACACAATGGACAAATATTCTGAAGGGGTTAGATGGCGGAGCTGCACTGACATGAGCTGCAAAGGAAATATAAGAAATTAATTCTTCATTGAAAAATACAACAATGGGGTGTAATGTATTCTCTTTCCCTTTATTTTTCCATATGAAAAATATCCAGTCCTAGTCCTTGAGAGACTGTATTTAATCCCAGCTGCCAATATAGAAAACCTCCAGACACATGAGCCTTCCAGGACCAAAACTGGCTAGATCAGAAACAAATATGACCTCTTGTGATTTACCAGTATTACTGGCCAAATCATGTGGCTCACAGTTGACAAGCTTACCATTCAATCTGCGCTACGAACAAGTGGTTGCAAGTATGGTAACGTGCTTTCTGGCTCTCCATAAATTCCCTGAAGCTGTACCTGAAAAACCTTGAGGAAGCTACTTGTCGTAATATGCAATTGAATAGGAAATCTTTTTTTTAGTTTTAGAAAAATATTTTTTTTACAATGACAAAATCCAAGATTTTTTCATAGGGCATATTGATTTTGAATAATAAAATACTGTTCTACTTATGCTTATTTTTATAGATGGCATTTGCACACAGTATTTTAATAATATTCTTCAATATAATATAATATATTCTTCATTATTTATTCGTTATATATTGGTTTGTGAGTATGGGGTAATAATAATAATAATAATAATATTCAATATGAACTCAGTAAGAAAGCATTGTCTAACTTTTACATTTTAATTCCAGACCTTTGTTATAAAATGTTTTTAGAAGATGTTGAACTACACTGTAAAGAATGACTAAAATAGAATTTTATGTTATACATGAGGTTAAAATGGAAAATCTTTTTGATTTTTATTAATGTATATCTTGAGTATGACACTTGAACTTCATTTTCTTTATCTAAGAAAACCCTTTGATTTATTTCGTGGATTTCACAACACTGACAGGAGTGATTCTGTCTAAAGAAACTTCTAATTCCGATTGTTGTATGTATTATGATCTAGCATTTCCCTGTAATGAGATAAAGGTCTCTGTTGTAGAATACTGAATAAATAACATCTTTAATTGTATTTATTTATACTATTTAAACTATTCGGTATTTTGGTACTTCAGCATTTGTCTGACTCACTTTATTTACATACAAAATCATTGTTTTAGGTCTTCACTTTGCATTGTGCCACTTGAAAGTTTATATAAAAAAATAGCCACAGTAATATTCATCAGTATACACCAGTTTACAATTTGGTTCCAAAACTAAAGAATAATTTGCCATGCTTATCACTTAACATTTCTCTAAACACTCAGACTCCAAACAATTTCTCAGTCTTTTCACTCACAGTGTAAAATCTTTAAAATGTTCGGCATCTTGCTTCATCCATTTGAATTGCAAACACACATATTGAGAAATTAAATAAGATTGTGATTGAATGCCTTTAAGTTCAAATTACCCTCTAAAAGGCAGTTTCTGTTAAGAGAACAACTTGACCTCACCTTATTACGTATAAATACAGGTTTTGTGTTCACCTATCCCAGCATTCTTTGTTTTGCTCCCTTCCCTCCTCCCGTCATTAGGATTAGCAGCTACTAAACTTATTCCCCCCAAGGAGGGGGGGGTTATTAAGGTCGACCCCATGACTAGGCCTTTGATACTTCAGCCATGCAAGTACCAGTCAAATGGGCAATAGATATATAAAAATATCAGAAAGTTTTTCTAAAGCTATGGAAGTATCTTAACACATAATGGATAGGTGGAATCATTTTGTTCCCACTTCTTTGTCCAATTATTCATGTCCAAGATAAGACACCCATTATCTGTATGTGTAGCCCTTCCTTACAGTTGGCCATTAAGATACAAGTCTCCCAATCTCCAGATCCAGAGTGTCAGGGTCAGTCTCATGTCTGGCCAGGGGATCATGGCTGCTCCCATACATTTATATCTGACAATGTATTAATTAATTCTAAAGCTTGAATCCATAGACAATTATAGAACATTATAGAATTAGGACATGTTTAAAAGTAATATACTGTACATAGACCTCAGAAGTGCAAAGCAGACCTTTAGTGTGTTGCAATCATACATGTATTCAATCATAGATTGCTGATGACTGCTACAGTTGGTCAACATGCTGATAATAAAAGGAACAAACCATGGTAAATTCCAGAATGAAAAATCCCTTTTAAATAAAGCATTAAAGTGTCATAAGGTATGACATTCTTGGAATTGTCTTTCTAAGGTCTAGCGGAAGAAATGAACATTATCATTATCACTTAAGATGCATCTTCCACTGTTACAGGATGCTCTGCAATATTAGATATCGTCTTCTACAATGATGCATTAAGTTTCAAGTTGAGCTATTCTTAAAAATTACTGAGATTGAGAAACCTTTGGGATTCAGATAGAGGATTCTGGTGTTTTTTTAACCTTATGACCTTCATGATATTCCCTGGAGCAACTACAGATGAGTTTATCACACTTATATCAAGTTATAATGTCTCTATTTTGCCTTTATTAAATAGGAATGAGACACAAGTCTCCCTGTCTGTGTGTCTGTGTCTCCATGGAGAAAAGTTGGGGTATGCGAAAAGACGAATTCCTAATGCAAGAAATTGTATAGGGCTAATAAAGAAACATCATTATCATTAAAACATTTGCAATTTTTACTATATTTCCATATAACAGTATACTATGGTAAAAATTTAAACAGTTTAATCGAATCAAAGTCTACATAATACAGCAAATATCCATTGCTCATTTATGTATTCTGTGTTGCCCTTCACATTTTTCAAATGTGAATTCATACATCTGGTCAAACTGAAGAAACTGTAGATGTGTACAGTCTTGTACAAATAAACATTGAGAAATACCTATTTTATCTTATTTTTACTTAATAAGGTGGCATTTTCTCACAGATTTCCTCAGGGTACTCTTTTTGGTGGTTACTCTGTACAACAAAATACTGTATTAGTCTTTACTGTCACTAGTAATGCTTGCTGTTGCAGTGCGGTTGCCCCCACATTTATTTTGTTTTGCTCTGTGACACAGCTACAGTAGGAGGGCGTCATAAAATTACGATCTTCTGGGGAGAATAAAAATAGGATTTTCTGGGGAATTACTTTGGAAGGGAAACAGACAGAAATAGTTTACCAGGAGAGAGGACTTTGGTCCCCTGGACTAGTCCTGGAAACCAGATTCTAACTAAGTATTTAAGATAGCTTGACATTATTCCATTGTCTTTATTTGAGGAATCCTCAGGCCTCTCCTAGTTAATGATGCAGGTTTAGGATAGGCAGACAGTGGCACACCCTCTGCAGCCAGAGGGCGCTCCCACTCTGTCCGTTCCCTAGTTTCCTGTGCTTTGCTGTCCTTCCTGTGTCTCTCTCTCTGGGGCTATATATTTCCGGGTCACTCATTCCTATACGCTCAGCATTGAGGTTCGGATGTCCTGAGACCCGCCTAGCACCAGGCCATCCCACGTCCGCTGTCTGAGGGCATACTGTAGGTTTCTATATGACTCCTGAACTGCTGAGCCCGGGCTAACCCCCGTCCCACCGCTACACATTGGGTCTTTTTCCACTCTCCTGCCATTCCACTGTTCGTCCCTTCCAACATCCATGACAGACAGATTCTCATTAACATTTTGGACATCTGTGTTTTAGAAAGGAAGATTTAGGACTGAGTCATATTCTGTTAATTCAGGACACAGGGGATTTCTTTTGTTGGCCTGTTTAGGTATTATGTAGGATTTCAGATTGCAATCTGAGGTTTCTGGAACAGTAAAGGTTAGATCTCTGAAATACCTTGTTTGTTAAATAGTGTTTTGTATAATGTTGTATGTAACATTGTGGGTTATTTAGTTTGTGTTATTTTGATATTCTTAAACAATATCTGTCAGTTGTAATTTGCCTCTAGTTACTCTTTCACCAGAGCTGCACTAGAAAATAAAGAACTCATGTGAAGGTATAATCCTGAAGAGTCTGGAGAAGGACATCTGGGGAAGCAACAGTAGGGTTAGGACGGTTCACAGACAGGGGGGAGGTGACTGTAGTGATCCGGTGCATGGGGGAAACACCAAGGCAACCGAATCCAGGGAAGTCCAAAAGGGGTAGTCAGGGCGCAGTCCATTATCCCAAAGCCAGGAGATCCATCCAAGACGAAGACGATTAAAACCAGGGAATGGGGAACTAGGACCAGGAACACGGAAGATAAAAAAATGATGGGACTAGGTGCTCTGAGCCCCAGGCTGAATCAGGGTGAAGGCCTATGCCCTCAGGCTTCCCCTGAAGCCTGGAAGTACTGTAGGTGGGCCTTCGGGTGTCCATCTTCCAGAGCTGAGCCCGGAACTACAGAGAAATGCCGGGCTTATATAACAAAAAAAGGAGGAAACACAGCTCAGGGTACTCAAACTAAAATTAATACAAAAGGGTAGGAGCGCTCTCTAGAGGAGGTATGACGACCGTGACACAAATTGAATGCAGAGTGGTAAAAAACAGGTTTACTGTATTTATCAAATCATTTGAAATGGGAGGTTTAACAATTCTTTAGAGACTTTTATGTACTGAAATGATAAACATCAAGTACGTTCAGAGAGTAATAACGTTTCCTTAAAGGATACCAATCAGACGTCAGATCTACAGTCTGAAGAAATGTAATTTGAGATTCTGATATTTTAATATTTTGTTAGGCAGTAACACCATGAAATGCCCAAAAGCACAGGGAGCAGTAGTGACAGGAGAAGACATACTCAGTCAACTTCAGATAAACCACACCTTCGTCTGAACTCCTGGCCCCGTTCTCTGATCCACTTGTTTGAAACTGTAATCAGAATTCAGAATTGCATAAATTGGACCTTTCTTTCACAGTTGTACAGCTTAAAAGAAAGAAAATGGAAGGAAGAAGAAAATAAACAAGTACTGTAGCTAATGCTATCCTAAAAATTGTATTATTATTCCAAAACTTTTTTTAGGACACAGTAAAAATGGTATAATTGAAAGTACTATTTTTACTTTATTTGAACTCTTCATATTTCTTTGTGACACCTTCACTCTTGGCTTGTCAGTTATGAAATGTTATGTCATTAACCCTCCTTACTAATGCTTGCAAGAGCATTCCCAACTCACCCCATTTGTTTCCTGTTAAAACTGGGCATGCAGCATGCAGAGTTCTGTAATCATCTTCCCCATTTTGTAAAAGATTGTACCAGAACACAGCTGAACCCTCAATGAAAAAAATGGCATGTTTAAAATACAAAATGTAAGACACAAAAGGAAGCATATATTTTGTTATGCTCTGAGTTTACAAATAGTAGCACCTAATGTATATGTACAATTTATAAATTATGTAATCTTACCAACCAACTAAAACTAGAAAATGTCACATACTGTAAGACAAAAAAAACCTTGTTCTTGGGCAACTACAGTATGTCAACACAAAGCCAACATATACAGGTATAACATATATATATGGAACAAGTAATAGGTTTATTCCATGCAATAAAAGAAGAAAGAGAACACAACATTTTGGCCATGGAGCCTTCTTCAGGTGTGCTCCATGGCCGAAACATTGTGTTCTCTTTCTTCTTTTTTTCAGCATGGAATAAACCTATTACTTGTTCCTTTGCAGCCTACGCATGCTGACACAGCTACCCACCTGAATTACTATATATATATATTACATCTCTATGAACTCAAATGAGTTTTGAATATATGGAAATGTAAGGATTGCTATATTAAACCTTTGAATCACAGCCTAGTGACAACCTCAACATGCAAAACATGATATTTACCTTTATGGGCTGAACAGCAGCTCCAACATCTGGAAATACTGTAGCTCCCCCAAATTCCACATCACTCATCTGAAAGAGAAGCCACAATTGAAAAACAGCTGTATTGACACAATAGGAAAAATGGTATACTGCTGTAGAAACTGTATGGCGCATTTAGTGTTCTGAAAATTTTGTTTCATTTAAACAACTGTACAGTATATTAGATTTTCGCTTTGTTTTGTTGTGCAAAGATGTGTGGTCAAAAGCCGAAAAACGGTTCTTTATCTGTTTCATCCCTCGGTTATGCAATCTGTAGTGTGCTGCTTTATCAGGAACTGACTGATAAAGCTCATTATTGTGGGTAAATCTGAAATCATGCAACCTGGGACTGTGGCTGAGCGTTAACAACAATAGGTAAAGCAGTTTAAGAAATAAAGCACGGTATTAAACTTAGAATGCATATTTTTGCTTTCTAGAAATTCCTAGAAGATAAATATCTACAGAAAAAAAACATTAGAATAAGTCATTTTTTACAACTGTAAGTAGTGGAGAAAGTAACCATATTTTTTCACTGACAGTTTTTCCAGTTAATCAGCTGTCTCATGAATGTCTGTACTACAGCTAAAAGAGGAGTGTTCTATCTGTTCAAAGAGAACTAATAGTGAATTAAATATAGTTACTTCGTTATTATTTTGTTTTCCATTTATCGTATATACTGTAAATGGAATGTCCATTGAATGGATAAATGTCCAGAGACAATTATGCTTACATAATTTAAGAAAGTAGCAATCCTGTTCCCATTTGTCTTGTAGTTGGAGTCATTGACGTGCATCTGAAAAATGTAGCATTTTCAGAATAACATCTAACATTTACCTTGACACAAGATTAAATTTATTCAAAACAAAATTAGTTTAGAAGAAACAGAAATGATATGAAAATGTGATGAATTATGCAAATATTATACTTTTGCATTGACTACTCACATCGTTACACAAAAAAAGTTTTTGTTTTTAAATTATACTTATTTTTCTCTTACCCTGGGAAAGTCATAGTGTGGCTCATAGTGACCACCAATACCGTAGTTGGCAACCTGTATTGAGAAAAGTTGGAATGGATCTTGAAATAAATGGATTTAATTCTCTGGTCAACACTGACATTTATTGACAGCCTTCATTCTCTTTATTTGCATCGCTACCCTATTTTGCTAAAAAAAAAATATATGAGCAGGAAGATAAAAATACACTAATTCATCTATTCATTTTCAATACTTGTAAAGCTACCTGTTTCAAATAAAAACTTTTTATTTACAAAGTGCCTTTCCAAATCCAAGGTTGCTGTACACAGTGATAAAGAAGAAAAAGAGAGAAAAGATACAATAAATAGTAAAAAAAAACAACAAGAAAATTGTAAATTAATGTTACATAAATTGTAAGGCAGGTGACTTTTGAGTTTAAATTTGAGAAGAGTCAAAGAATCTGTCTCTTGATGTGCTTGAAGAAAGGCAGTGACAGAAAAGAAAAAGCCTGCGATTTAGTCCTAGGTACAGTAAGTAAATGACCAGCCTCAACTGAACTGAGCCTACGGAAGGGAACGTAAACATGGAGGAGCTCAGAGATGTGTGATGGAGCCAGATTACTTATAGCCTTAAAAGTCACTAACAAGGTAGTTTTGAATATGATCAAATTGCTAATACAGTGCAGAGCACAAGGAGTGCACACTTGCTAATTGAATAATACTTCCAGATGTGATGGGCATCTAGGCTACTTCTGCCTATTCGACAGATACTGTACCAGTGAAACACTAGTTTATTAGAAAATAAGAGAGCTGTCTCAGGCAGTACCTGGAGATGTTCTGCTGTTTGCATGTCTAAGCCTGTAATATCAGCGATTCTTTGATTGACTCGAGAGACAACGGGGTCATCTTCTTCCATCAACCATGCGCTGGAGGACATTAAAGAAGAGAGGAAAATGCAACACAGGAATTAAAAGAGGCTGCTGTTTTTTTTCTTTAAGCTTGAACCACAACCACACATTTATATCTAATTTTGTTTTCACTTGATAAATAATAAACTGAAGCTATAACTTGCATTAGTGTTCTAATTAATAATTGAGCCACTTGATCAGCATGATCATTAAAACAATTGAGGTGCTGGTAACAGTAAAGCACTGCAATAGAGAAGACTGGAAGTCTGGTAGTTCTGCTGCAGACACTCATGGATTTCCCATTTGAATTTGTAATGTTTGAGTTATTGGGAGTTTTTTTTTTGCTTTTTCAGAAAATGAATGATACATTTGGAGTGGTAAAAAGTCTCTGAATATAGCCAATTACATACACAAAGCCAAAACATATTCCAGGATGGTGCATACAGCACATGTAAGTAAACATGTAAGCATAACCCTAGACTCCATACTGTCACATTATGAATATTTTAACTTTTTAACAGTTCTTTTAAGGAGAGAGATGCATGGAAATTTGTATACCTACTGTACAAATCATCATATGTTGCGCCTATCGCAGATCTTTACATCATAAAACAAAAGATCATAGTCTTAACATACATAGCTGGAGCTGTACTGGATACATCTTCATTTGCATTATTTATTAACAGCTTTCTTGAAAAAGATCAAAAGGAAACTGTTTAGAACTATTTCTCAAATTTACTCACCTTTTAGAAACTCTGTATTCAGCTATGAACCAGCCTCCAGTTTTCCTGTCTGCAACTCCAGCTCTTTTAAGCTGTGTTTGAGGTAAAAGACAGGCAGAGCTGAAGGGTAAATGACTTTAATAAAAATAAAATTAAACATGAAGTGTAAGTCTTATTAGTGCCTCATGTTATCTTGGTTTTGTCACTATTACAATGTTTCATTAAATCATTTCATTAAATATTATATTTAAATGTATTTATTAAATAGGTTCACCTAAAAGGTGTTCAACAACTGGCAATGAAAATGAAAAAAAAAATTAGCATTTGTTCATCGTTTCGTGACAACTGCTTTTTCTGGGTTACCTTAGGCCGGGATAATCGCTTTATTGTTTCCATTTCCTTTTCTGACAAGAAGTTATGATATCTGACGATTGGTGGATGGTCCCATTCATCCTCCTCCTTTATAGGTGCATATATTAGCCTGGGGTTTCTCTTCCCATTGTTGTACCTGCAGAACAGTGTGCTCTGTCTCCTCGGAGTCTACCATTAAAACAGACAATGGATATGAAATGTTGTGCCTCATATGAAGGGGTTTCCTCTGTTCTACTGTGGTAAATTGGACTTAAAGGAGTAAACCAAAGTATAATGATGATAAAGCCAGTATATGTACATTTATACAAGAAGATAGAGAAAAGTTTGAAAAACCCTAGCAAAACAAAGTGAATTCATAGAATAAGCATGGAAACACAGGAACACCAACTCGCCATTTTTATGCCTTCTCCCCGGCAGAGTGCTTCATAGTATTCTTTGCCTTGCAAGAAGTTTGGCCCTTCAAAAAAGTCTAAGTTAGCAGTGGCACTTTGAGTCTCATTCCACCGTCGTAAACTTTCCTTCACAGTTTCATAATATTTAAAATAATTTAAAGCATTTTGATCACTGGGATCTGAAAGAAGAAGACAAATATCAGAACATACAACCCACTGGGTGTAGGAAGGACATGGTAATCACATATTTCTTTTTAAAAAGACTTAATTTGATACCTACCCAGAGCAATCAATTGTCTGGTCATTTCAACCGCCAAAGGCAAATCTCCTACTTGAAACACAAAGGGAATGAGAAAGTAGAGAATCTCTTTTTTTGTAATTACTGCTGGCTTGCCCTCATCAAGTTCTTTCAAAGCATGTTGCATCCATAGAAAAGAGTACAAATATTTTTGTTTTTCATGGGCAATAGTAGCCAGATAATAGCTTTCATCTGGTGTCAGTAATTCAGTGTGTCCCATTCCTGTAAAAAAAACAAAACAAATTTGCAAACCATGTCATATGCAAAGTATGTCATATGCAAAGTAAATTATACATAGTAATACAGGATATACATATGATTTGTTTGTATTTGCATTTTATTACTGTTTAATCATTGGAATTGCCACGATTAGGATGAATAAAGGTTTGTCTAAGACTGTTCTCTCTTTAAATCAAATTATTTTTTCTGGAAATACTAATATATAAAAAAATTCGAATTAAATTTGAACAAATTATTTTTAATTAAAATATGTTGTAATTACAAGTCCTCAAACTAAAAATTAATTTTAGTCTACACTAAATGTCTGCAGATGGATTTCTCATACTGGTTATGTAATTGTTCCGGTTGGGTTTTTAAACCTACACCACAATGGATAAAAAAAATCAGAATATCAGTCTAATCATGAGTTGGAAGCCCTAGCCCCCCAAAAATGTAAACCAATACTTTTTTTTAAGGGTTGCGAAAAACACTTTGTAAAGCATTACAAAAAATCTATTAACACTCCGATTTAAACAGTATATTGATCATGTTATTGATGTTACTGATTGATATTGATGCTCTGTTAATAATTTGATTATACAATATGTTACAGGTTACATAGAATTTCTAAATAGAATTTTCAGCCCCTAATCTAAAATCTCATCAAATTTACCAATGTATTGCTGCTGCAGCAATGGCCTCTGGAGTTGCCAACCAAAGAGTTTTTCCAACCATATTCAGATGGTTCTAATAGTCTGTAATTGTTACCTGAGATTTTTCCATCCATGATGCTCTGTGGATCCAGTCTGTATGTTTCTTGTAGTCTAACTAGACCCAGTGCTGCACCGTCTACATCATCTTTGCTGGGAAAATGCTGGCACTTCAAAGAAAGTGAAGCCAAAAAATCTAAACAAAAAATGAATAATGAATGGAAGCACTTTCACCATGATGAAGTGTCTCTCTAGCAGCTAGAGTAAAAGTGGTATGTAGCATTTCTTTATCTTAAAATCTCAGTGCCAGATTCAAGTGGCATGCATATACCTGTGGGAAACATAAAATTGTATCTATGTGTTTATTTAGTATGATGAATTATCTTGATGATTACCACATGAGTTGTTTCATAACACAAAAATGTGGATAGTTAGTGCTGCGGCTTCAGTGTTTACTGGAAATTAAAAAGACAGTTGAGAAACAAAATAATTTTTGACACCTCCTCTTTCAAATCCTACCATGTGATGGATCCATCTTTATTAGTTTTTCCACAGCTCTCCAGTCGGTGTACATTCTCTTCATTAGCTTGTAAGCATTTAAGGGATTGCTTACACGTGTTTCAGGCATTTCTGAAAACGTGCCTGAGATTTCATCCATTACATCAACTGTCCTTTAAAATTAAAACACACAACTGTTTTAAAGGCTACTTAAACAAGAAAATATGAACATGACAGCTTGTAAGCATATGGTTCAACAACAGTGGGGTAAGAAGAAAAACAAATTTCTAATTACAATGCTTCAAGGGGTAGTTCCAGTATACCTTCACATATTTAACTGTAGTTCCTTTATGGCTACAGTGTTTCACAAACTGTATTTTAGCAGCCTAGTTTGCAATCAAACATGGTCTGAGCCACTGCAATGTCATCGATTTTCAGTAATTATTCATCTACTGTATGTAACCATCTAAGGAGCAAAACGTCAGTGAACCGCACGATGCAGCGAGTAACATGGACAAAAATAGATCCTAATTATCAACAAGGATTTAAATGAAAAGGCTGATGATTTAAAATATTCTGTTATTTACTCTAAATACATACATGCCCATCCTGACCAGCAACAGGCACAAGATAGGATGTATTCTGGACGGAAGACCAGTCCAGACAGACATGAACACAGACACACATACAATCACCCCAAGGTAATTTTCCCAGAACCCAATTAACCTACAAGTAAATTTTGGACTATGGGAGGAAACAGGAGCACCTGGAAGAAGCCCACACAAACATGAGGAGAACATTTAAACTCCACAAAGATAGTACACCAGGTCCAGAATTAAACCCAGTACCCCAGAAGAAGCAAAGCTAACCACCACTCCTCTGTACTGCCAACATACAGGAACTCTTTTCTCTCAAATTTCAGATAGACACTCCTTTTAATCATCAAAGCTAATTTTACCTTTTCAGTTGTTCTAAGTGGGTCTCTTCTTCTTTTATATATTCCTTTAAAGACTGAATGAAGTCTCTTTCCATGGAAATCAGCTCTGCCACTTGGTCTAGAGAAATTACAGAAAATAACACAACATACAACTTATTCAAAAACAAAACAATAAAAAATGAACTATTGTATATTATTTAGATTTTCAGGTTCACAGTTAAGAAAGTTATATTCACAAGACACAATATAAATATCAATCATAGCACCATCTTTCAACATCAGGTGTCAGTGAATTAGCACAATAACCAAACAGTTTAAAGCTTCAACATCTGTGAAGAATTCTGTATAAACAAGTATATCTAGTATAATAGATTTGTGTAAGTAGCAATGTACTTGGAGTTTATTGTGAAGAGCATCTACAAGATGTTTAACTCAGACACCTTTTTAAGGTTTATTAAGGTGCTTTTTTCTTATTGTACATGCCAATATAGAAAGTACAAGGATTATTTAAAATCTAAAATTTGCATTTTATGTATCTTATTATCTTAATTTTGAAATAGAAGAGTATGTTTACTAAAGTATGAGGTAGAAATTAGTTTAGTCATACAATACTGATTTGGCCTCTGTTGTTCTTAACATTAATCTCTTGCTCATAGTTTTAAAGCTTTATCAAATGATCTTTTTTTTCGGGGTGAAACAAAAAACAGCTGACTAATTGAAACAGTTATAAAAATTGGGTAATACGTGCAAAAAAAAATAGGTAAAACCTATGAGTATGGTAACAGAAATGGTGGAAATCACCTCAGAATATTACCTATGGAGGAATAAAACTCATCCTGCACATGGCAGAGGATTACACCAGTAAAGAGTGAAGAAAGCAACCACTGGAACTTCATCTTTCAAAGTCGATGTCTTGATCCTGGGAAAAAATCCAGCAGTAATGGCTGTCAAAAAGGTGCCTGTATGCAATTTTAAAAATACAAAATAGATTCCAGATAACATTCTGAACATTGTGTTAATGATGAAAAAAACTCCTGTCGAAGCACAGATCTCTCTCAATTAAAACATACCTGCTGTTAACAGCTCGAATGAAGCTGGCACTGTTGGGCAAGTACAGTATGTTTTAATCCAACCTTGACTACTCGTTCAAGGATTTGATTAGACAGGAATGTTCATTCTCATGCAGAGACTTGTACAATGACCTGAATCATAAACCACGACACATCACTGGTTTTACAGTTGGCATTTCAGACTAGGTGTAGTGAAACCACATAATAATCTGATGAATCTAGCTGCTTATGACAGTGAACTAGAGTAGGAGGAATATGAGGCTGGAGGATATAAATGTAAATTCAAATAATGTAACATACAATTGGAAAAAGGTACTGAAACCTACTGATACTAAGCAACCTACAGAATTAAATGTTGCAATTCTAATTTTAATACAATGTGTTAGTCAAATACAGGTTCTACTCTGTTTAGAACCATGTTTCATTAGTTAAAGTGAGACAAATTTTGAGTGATATTGACAAGGCCGTTTGTTGAACAGCAAGAGCTCCAGTAAAATAAAAATTTCACTGGAAATCGAAGATGATGTATGAACAATAGCAATGACAAGCAAACTTTAATATGCAAAGTACTAGTACAGATGAACTATAGAAACTGATATGACTCATCTTAAACCAGATCATTTGATTCTTAGAAAATGAATATGATTCATCCAGCTGCATGTACTGCACAAACTACCATCACTTCTCATTACTTTCTCTGCAGGTGACTGGATACATAACTTAATATTGTAATCATTAAAGTTAATCAGGATTGTGAACCTCAAAAACCTTATAAAATATTTGATAGATTTATTTCCAATCCAGTTTATCATCTGAGGTGATGTGAAAATTGTTTGCATGTTTACGTCATCCAGCTGGATTCCAAAATTCTGTGGCCTTTACCTGCAAACAAGGAGAAGGTGTGTGATCCTGCAGCATCGGGGATTAAAACCAAAAAAAAATCTCAATCTATTAATTTCAGTTATATATGCCTCACAGTGCTGGGACCCTGGTTTAACTCTTGGAGTGCTACCTGGGTGAGGTTTGAATGTTCTCTTCGTCTGTCTGTGGGTTTTCTCCCACAGTCCAAAAGCAATACTGATACTGATGTAGGTTAAACAGCTTCTGGATTTAACTGGTCCTGGTGTGTGTGTTTGTGTGTGTGTGCCCCGCAATTTATTGGTGTCCTGTCCACATTGTGTCCTGCCTTGTGCCTGTTGTTTGCCAGTGACCCTGCATTGGATGAAGCAGTTAGAAAATGGATGCATAATTAGCCTGTACAAATGTTTTGAATGGAAACATTTTATACATGAGTGGCATGAAACAGTTACAAACATTAAGCAGCCTTCACAGTACAATAGTAAGCCTAAGCCTTCTGGAGAATCACTTTTAAAAGCAAGGCATATGCAGCAACAGGTTATGAGGTTTAAGCTCTCCAGTAGACAACATGAAGGAGTGTCTTCATTAGTTGACTGGATTTTGGTGATGTACAGTAATACATAGGTTTGAGATTACTTTGAAAACAATTACTCACAGGGCTTTGATATGGTAATTCTTAGCCTCCCCGGAATTTTCTGTCAATTTGCAAGATACTAAGTATATATATATATACACCTGACCTTGCATAAAACCTTAGAATAACTGGAATTCTAAGATACAGAGGAAACAACAAGGGGTTTTAAATCCATTTAATTGATCTGATAAATCTTCAAGTATAGCACTACAGAAAAAAAGCAGAAAAGAGTGCAGTTTGTCGCCATTGGCTGCTGTGTCAATAGGCTTAACTGAATTGCAGTTAGAGCATCAAAAGAATTTGCTGTTCAATATCTGTTTGTGCAGGAAGGTGGCACATGAGCTGAAACACTGAAGGTTCATCTATACCACACAATCAGAATATTCTTTCTAATTTCCTCAATATTGAAAAGATAAATACCAATATTGATCTCTTGCAATTTGGATAAATATCAGTGAATGCACACAGAACTTAAAGTGTAGCTTTAACATACTTTTTAAAACTGTTTTTCTCTCTCTGTCTCTTCTGATTAACAATGTGTAATGGAATTTATTTCAGACCACAGGTGACACCAAAAATCATTGTCTGCGTCTGTTGGGTTTGTAAAGGACCAAATGCTGTGATCAAAACAGTAAAAGAAAAAAATGCTAGCACAAAATAATTGACATCTCTGGCTAACACAACTCTTTGCACAACATTGTGTCTTGGGAAATCAAGAGCAAGGTGTTTCATTTGTGCACAACCCAGAATTAGAGAACCCAGTCATAGTATTGTACACTACGTAAATGATTAGGTAAGAGTAAATGGTCATTTAAACCACATACATTTACAATCACTGTGGAGACAACATTCATTTTAACATAGGTGTTACTGTATATTCTTTAATTTTGAGGTTTCGTTTATTAAGCACTCCTAGACAAAAGTGGTAAGTTTGGGCAAGTTTCCAAATCCAGATTTATGTGTATATTTTTCTTACAATGAGTCTGTGAATACAATATTGTCTTTAGGGTCAGTCATTTGAGGTTAGAATCTAGTCATTAGACAGGTCCTTTTCAGTAATGTTTTGCATTTGCTGCAATTTCCAAAACCACATAATAGAAAAGTAGCAGCAAATATTTATGAAGCTTATTTTCTATTATGATTTTGAATTAAAAAAAATTGTGCTTTCTTAAAAATGGAAAAGTATTTGCTTTCCTTTCCAACCTTTTTTTTTACTGTCTTTATTGGTACTGAATCAATATTTACCACATGAATGCCATGCACAGATTTTTTTTTATAGGAGTACCCAAACCGAAATGTTAACAAAGGTTTACAGTATTTGCTTAATCATCCATATTAAAATTGATTTTAGTTCACTAACAGGTATTACAGAACATATACAGTAATATCCAGATGACAGTAGTCAGTAGAAATCAAATCTATAGTTTGTAAAAACACATCATTAGGGAGGACAACACTGTTTCTCTGAAACATATCTTAAAGAGAAAAATAAAATGTTAACACTTCCTCTGGCTTAAGGTTTATGTACCCTGTATGATACCTTCTTAGAAGCGACACAAGAAAGTATTCTAACACTCATAATTTATGAATATTGCTCCTAGATGCAACAATTACATGAGTGTTTGTAACAGCTAGCAAACTGCACATTAGGGTTAGAACTATGTTTCAGGTTAGGATTATTACACAAATAAAACTATTAGGTTTTCTGGAAGAATTTATGAAAGGTTTGCCTCTGAAAATATACTGATGGAAAAAAGAAACGCAACATTTTCTGGAATGAGAATACTATTGTTATACCTTATGTACTTTCACAAAAAGTTGTCAATTTGTTTTAAGCCCTCTGACCAGCAATACAACTTGTGCAGCCAGGCATTGCAACTTGCCAATCACACAAAAGCTTGTTAGGTGCATTTTTACCCAACGAGGTCCAGGTGGAACAATGCCTGATCAGTTCACCTTTAAAAAGGCCTTAATTCAAAGCTTAGGTCACTGGAAGAAAAAGTCCACACTTAATCAGTTTTCTGTGCATTCCATAATGCTTCAAATGTCACCAGAAGCAAGGGAGAGGACCATTGACATGCTGCAGGCAGGCATGTCATGTGCCTGCGTTTCCAGACACTACGGCGTAGGCCGCTCTATTGTGTCCCAACTGCATAGGTTTCAGCAGAGCAGCAGACCAGCAGGACAAATGACTGTCCAAGATCGGTTCGCCCTCAAGTGACCACACCAGAGCAGGACCGACACAGACTGGTCCATCTGAGAGATCATTTCAGATCTGCCACCTGTACTGCTGCTGAAACTACCGGTGGGCAAAATGCTTGCATTAGTGACAGTACAGTGAGACTCCATGCTGCTGGCCTTAGAGCAAGGCGACCTGTCAGAGGCCCTCTGCTCACACCTCCTAGACGTCACACCCGACTGACTTGGGCCAGACATCAGCAGAGGCACGAGGTCCGCTTCACAGATGAGTCACTCTTCAGCCTGTTTAATGCAGACGGGAGGGCGAGAGTGTGTAGGAGGAGGTGCTGCGTTTCTTTTTTCCATCAGTATATATTAAGCAGACTATATAAAGACTTGTCAGATAAAAAAAGTTATCACAAAGGTTACTTCTTTGTAAGGTTAACCTCCATTCAACTTGTGTAAGTTTCTTAATACTTATCTTCGTCTAGCTCAACAGGATTTGCAACCTGAATAACAGATACTGTATAAAAAAAGCAATTGTGGTAGGTGTTCCTGACAAAACTCTATTAACTGAGTTTAGAAGGGTCCGAGTTTACAGTGATAAGGCACTATGCTTCCCCTTGTGGTGTATATTTAAACGACCCCTGCCTCAAAAGGTATGATGTTATCAGAATCTTCATACTGTACCACATGTTGACCAATCCTGGGAAAAGACCCTGCTGAAAGTGATCCTAAATACTGACGTAAATGTTGTTCCTTAAAACATGAATCTTCACGTCCTGGTTTGCAGCATTATTTATAAAGAAACCGCAAATGAAACAGAAGAAAAAGAGTTCAAGTAGGTACTGTAGCTGTCAGCATGCATAGGCTGCAAAGGAATAAGTAAAGGTTTATTCCATGCTGAAAAGAGAAGAAAAGAAACAACGTTTTGGCTGTGGAGTCTTGTTTGAGAGAAAGACACCTAAAGAAGGCTCCACAGCTGAAATGTTGTTTCTTTTCTTCTCTTTTCAGCCTAGAAGAAAAAGAGGATTGCTCATTTCAACGTAAATTACATTTTCAGTTTTTAAACAGCTCAACAACCTATAGCAAAATGAGCCTCCACAGGCCTGTACACACTGCTCATTAATTGCTCTTAAAAAGCAAAGCTCCTTTACTAAAGGGAAAGTGAAAGTCCAGACCAGAGCCTAGCCAGAGCTCTCACTCGTTACCACAGTGTTACAAAGAATGAGGGCACTTGACTCTCTCCCTGAATAGTATTCTGGTCCATCACAAGACCTGAACCCAAAACCCATCAGCTAACAGAGCCCAGAGTTTACACCTATGCCTATGCCATTCCACCATTCCTTAACATTGTAAAATAATTCACACATCTAAAAAGATTCCACTTGTTTATACATACAGTAGGCAGGTTTGTTTATCTTCCAGTGACAATCCCAGCTTAAAAGCTCTGAACAGAAGCTGACAATGGCAGAACTTTGTAGTTATAAAGAAAATAAATTAGGTATTTACTGTGAGAAAAGTATCCCAATCAAATAAATCAGTCATGAGTTGCAATCAATCATTTAATGTTAAAAACATAAAAAGGTATTTTTCTTTTAAATAACAGTCTAAAAAAACAGATAAAGGCACCTGTGAAGAAGAGTACATTTACAAAATGGGCTTTTTTGGTTTCTTTAGTGAAAGAATGCGATACCAGACACATCACACATGAGATCTCTTAATTCCATCAGGTTTTGGCAATTTAACACTGCTGTCCTTTTCGATGTGTACAGATGGGATCCTTGGTGCTGTGACCACAACCAAAGTTGAATAAGTACCTAAGAGTTCGAAAACAAAATCTGGAGAATTTAGTCGACTTCTGTTAGCCCACAAGGTCTTCGGAACTCTTGGCCTCTCTCATGGATCCATTTGTTTGATACTGTAAACATAAAACAACAGGAGTTTACAGAAACCTAACCTTGTCACCAATGACACACTTTGCATTTTTTAAAATTAAACCCTTCATGCTCCTACTTTACACTCAACCAAAAAAGGTCAGCTTACTGTCCTCCAAAAATAAGCTTGCTATCCCCCAAAATTGTCCATAAGAAGTTAACTCAGAAACAACATGTCAGAGCAGGTAATTAAAGTCAAACAGACTAATTATTAAGTTAAGAGTTATTATTATTAATTACTGAGTTATTAAGAACTCAACTAGAAAAAAAGGATCCACAATTGACCAATGAAGGAAGCCATTGACCTAGAGTACAAAATCATATAGAAAAAAGTTGCACTGTACCAAAAAAGAGGAAATTCTTCTTGCCACATACCCCATTTACTTCCTACTAATACCGGACAGGCTGCATGTCTTGTCCTGTAGTCTCCCTCTCCACTTCTGAAAAGGTTATACCAGAACACCGCAGTGCCCTGAGGAGAACATGAAAATATGACAAGGCTGTGCACACCTTCATTTACCCCCAGATCCCATCCCTCTTGAAATATTTCTTAATCACATCATAAAATCTTATGTTTACCAACAGAATTTGTGGTCTAGATTTCATAGGTTAATGGAACGCTTCAGGAAAACCTTGCATAATAGTCATGGCTTGTTGAAAATTACTCTTGCAAAGTTTAGAAATTATCAATGTGGCACAGTTTCAAAATGAGTTTCAAAATGAGTGAATTTTGTAAACCTTCCTCTGAAGCTGTGCATGAATCACTGAAATCTATATTCATAACTGGAATTTACTGTAGAAGACAGAAAATATGATTTGTATCCTGGAATGGTTAAGTTAATGTTATTTTAAAAGGACAGTGTATCAGCACTGACACTCACCTTTCTGGGCCAGATTGCTGCACCAAAATCTGGAAATACTGTAGCTCCCCCAGCTTCTACATCACTCATCTGTTACAGGTAAAGAGCCATAACATGAACACTTCTCTGCTCGCAAGCGCACAGACAAATGAAAACTGTTAAGTTTCTAAAAGTGTAAAACATTTATTTTAAAAATGCATTTGATGGGGCTGAATAAGCTTTTCTTAGTATTTCTTTAATCACATTGTACAAACAGTTCAGAGGTAGCAGGGGAGAGTTGTTCCACTGAGTTAAGGAGATAAGGTTCATCTTGAATGCTAATGCAAAAATTAACTTTGCATGTAACAACATTTGCCATTCTTTACAAAAAGAATAAAAAAGCAAATATAAGATGGGTTAAGTCCTTCCCCTTTCCCACTTATGTTTAAAGGCACAAAATGCCTGTTCATCATTTTTGTCATTAGAACTTTACACACAGTGCTTTTAAATAAGACTTTTCTGTGGACTGTTCATTGTGGACTCTTTAAAATTACACATAAAAATTGAGACAGAAAGCAAAACATCTGCTTTTCATAAAGCACAGTCAACACACAGAGCATGAAGCAAAGCAAAAAACGTAAAAGCATTAACATGACTGCAATAAGCTTGCATGAGTAATCAGCAGCAGTTTAAAAACAGTAAATTCAGTGGACAAAAGCCATAAAATTTATTTCAGTTCTCTTTAAGAATAAAGATATTCACTAATGTTTGTGTACCGAACACTGCGATATACTAAAAAGTCAGCTTTAAATTTTTCAGCATCTTAAGAATCTGGTGTGAAATTTTTGAAGTCACATTTGCTTATGCGAATACAGATTAGAAGTTGATCTTGTCTCAATTCAAAACATGGAGAACTGGAATTTGTTTCCTGTTTTTAAAACTATCATAGTTTTGCAGTTGGTTATATTACAAGCAGGATATTAAACTACAATGGAATCTCTTCAAAAGTGTACCAAAATTGACTGACACAAATACTCAGAATAGGTCTTTCACCAAGCAGTTTTAAATTAGATTTGTTCAACTGCACAAGCCAATGGTACCATTTTTGTGGCATGATGGGAAATAGTATTGTATTTTCTCAAATGGTGGCAATGTTCAGTCAGTTCAGGTGCAATATTGAATGGAGACGTCTAGATTGCAGGGCTGAGCAACTACACCATCTAAAACTAAGGGTAAATTTCCGTAAACTAAATTCACACCAGATATACCATACTTACATAATTTAAAAAAGTAGCCACACGATTTCCAGTGCCTAATGATTTGAAAGCATCAGGTTCATCTTTCTACAAAGATAAAATTTCAGAGTAAATTCACAGACAGCTAGGGAAGTGCCAGGGAGCACACACAGGTACTTACATAATTCAGATAGGTTGCAAGTCTATTGCCATCTTTCTTGAGATTGCTGTCAAAAGGTCGCTGCAACAGATGTTCACAACATTAAGCCAGATCTAAATAGTTTGCACAGCAAGACACGGCTCGGAAAGTTTGGTTAGAAAATGAATAAAGGGGATAGACATCCCTGTGCAGAAGTGTCAGCAGTACCAATCTCCGCCAGCTTCTTTCAACTCTGTCTGACTACACTGTGGCCTGGGGAAAAAACCAAAAGTTCAGATCTTTTCTTCTTCAAGGACAAACCCTTCAGCTGCTGAGTCTGCAATTTTTCATTTTCAGTTAATTGCAACCTTCATTAAAAGCTAAATAAAGGTAAATGTCAAGCTTGTATTGTTAAAATCAAAATCATATAACGAAGAGGGTGATACTCATGCAAGATGAAATATTTGAATGCAAGTGTATAAACATAAAAAATACAAACTACAATGAAGATACAGAGATGGAAAGGGATAACAGCAATCCATCTATCCAGTATCTATGCATGCTTGGTGTAATATATACATATACAAATCTCTTCCAGTGCCCAGTTGCCTGAACAAAAAACGATCAAAATGTTTTGACAAGAAAATGTAACCGTATGGCTGTCAGTTATAATTTTCATTACTCAGATTTTATTAAATTTGCAATTGTGATCTGCATGCAAAGGGGTTTACTTTAATTACTAATGTAAAAGGGATGCGGTAAAAAGTTAAAAGGTTTCCTCTAATTGATAAGATTACAGTACACACTTCTTGAAAAACAGGAAAATAAAGTCTGTTCAGTTTAAGATGAATCAGATTTGAAAATTTCATGATTCAACAGAAAATGACGACAGCAGCATTAAAACCAGGGGACCTTCCTGTGTCATACTGTATATATAACATTCTAATTCTGCATATATTAATAAAATATCTTGACTAGTTATTAAAAAAAACCCAAGATGGTGATCTTGCTAATGAAATTTGTATCAAAATACCAACACTTTATCTCAATTTTAATGCATGTTAAAGACTTTCTGGGAACTAACATTTTGTGACAGATGGGCCAATTAACTACTATGTTGTCTGACTATCAATCATCTAATTAGTGTAGCAGATGCAAAGTCTATTAGCTTTCCTTTAGAAGTGGCCAACAAGATTAATAAATATAACACTGATGCCTAACCCTTTACACAAAGGGTTGTTGGAATCTTGGAATAAATTACCAAGCAAATGGGATGGGATTCAATGACAAGATATACCTGGATAAGATCCGATGAGAAACTAAAAACCAAACAAACCTGGATGAGCTTCCTCTCATTTGGAAACTTCTTGTTCCTAACTCTGGAGTGCCAGATTTTGTGTCCAGTATTTACAAAGTACTAAACAGTTACTGTATACTCCAGTGGACAATAATATAGTTTTAATTAATTATGTTGTGAAGTGAGGATAAAAAATGAAATAAAAGTATTAACTATAAAGATTTAAACATCCAAGTCAAGTGAAGTTTCATTAAAACAACCGACTACTCAAACCGAGCAGGGCAAGCAAAACAGAAAGGCTGTTTTAGACAGTTCAGAGATGTGTGACTCTACAGACTGAAACATATTTGTAGACAATTTACTTGATAATTCATTTTGTACCCTACTATGGTGTTCACACAGAAAACTTGACTCCCCCACTTAAATACTTGGTATTACAGTCAACTAGTTACAGTGCCCTCCAAAAGAACTGGAACAAGAGTTAAAATCAGCCTATTATAGTTAAATGCTCAGGAAATTTGGATTTCAAATCACCAGATGGATACAAGACAAAAGCAGAGAATATCCCCTTTTAAGCACGGAAATGTTTATGCATAAATGTTTTACTGTTATAAAACAACTACTTTTTTTATCAACCCCCACATTTTAGATGAGCATAAGTATTGGAACAAATGGGTTTACAGGTGTTTCTAATTGCACAGATGTTACACGTTACATACGTTTCACACACAGAAAAGAGCTGTGAAGGTCTAGGCATGGTTGAGGTCTTTTGAAATTGCTTTTAAAGTCTTTCATTTGAATTAGTCAGCAAAAACACACACGAAGACCAAAGAACTCACTATAACAAAAAAGAAGGCCATTTTCAAAATGAGAGGAAAGGAAATGACCATTAGAGAAATTGGTAAGACTTTTGGCATTGCAAAATCAACAATCTGGAATGTTTACTTTTTTTTAAGAACAACTGGAGGAGTCAAAAACAGGGCGTTCCAAAAAGAAAAATGCAGTGGTTGACAGAAAAATATTTGAAAGTGTAAAGAAAACCCCCCAAATTACTGTCAGTGAAATCAAAAGTAATCTCCAGAGTGTGGGAGTGGAAATCTCGAGTATCACAGTCTGCAGAAGACTTCACCAAGAAAAATTCAGAGGCTGTAGTGCAAGGGGTAAGCCCCTCATCAGCAGCAAGATCGGAAGAACTCAATTAGAATTTGCAAAAAAATATCGAGATGAGCCACGGGAGTTTTATGGACAGTGATGGAAAGGCTAAAGCGTGGAGAAAAACAGGAAACGCCAATGATCATGAGCGTACCAAATAATTCATGATGGGATATCATCGCTTGGGCATGTATGGCTACTTCCATAACAGGATCAATGGTCTTTACTGATGACTTAACTGAAGTGGAACATTTTAAATTGGCCAAGTCAATCACCAGATCTGAATCCAATTGAAAATGCATTTCATTTGTTCAAAAGGAGACTGAAGGCAGAAGCCCAACCAACAAGCAACAACTTACTGTAAACGGACTGCAGTTAAAGCCTGGCAAAGCATCTCAAGTGAAGAAACAAAGTCTGGTGATGTCAATGGGACAGAGGCTTGATGCAGTTATTGCAAGCAAGGGATTTGCAATGAAATACTGACTTTTTCCACGTCTTTAATTTGCTTTAAGTGTTCCAATACTTCTGGTCACCTAGATTTGGGGGGACTTAACAGAACATATGCTTGCTGAAAATGATTAGTTGTGTTTGCAAAATATATCTTCAAAATAAAAGGTGACCTTCTGAACTCTGACTCAGAATAATTTGATTTATGTCAATATAATTTTCTTGTGTATACAACAGGGAAATGCATGGGTTTTTGTCCCAATATTTTTGGAAGGTACTGTACTGTATGAGTTTTTTAGAAAACATAAAGAAGTTTCAAATAAGATACTAAAAAAAGAAGGTATTCTGGTCACAGAAAGACCATCTCAACTATCATTTGGAATTTAAAATGTATTTAATGTATTTTGAATCAATAAATTGTAGTTCTCATATAACAGTTATAGGCATACATTTCCATTTAAATACACAATTTAGACAAAAGATGCCTGTGTGTATTACAGCAATATCAGTCTTAGATTCTTGGTCAGACAAAGTGTGAAAAATCCAATTGTATTGTGGATGTGCTGTTTAGCACGTTTGTAAAAAAAAAAGCTTTCTTGACTGGCAGCTTGTTAGAAAATATAAGCCAATTGATTAATCTTACCCTTGAGAAGTCATAATGAGGCTCATACTGCCCTCCAACCCCATAGTTTGCAACCTGTTTCAAAACAAAAAATAACAGTATAAAAATAAACTGCATCAGACTTTACATAAAACTGTCAGTTAACTACCAATCAAAGTTCTAATCAATGGTAATTAAGTGTCCACAGATAATTACTACTGAAAATGCTAGGTTAGGAAACTACTATGTATCTACAGAAACATAACATTCTCCAAAGCCTTAAAGTTTTATATAAAAATGAATTAAATCCTAACATTCAGATTACATAAGGTGCAATGTGTATGTACATTTCTACAAGTGAAAAACTCTTAATATTCTATGTGCTATGTTCAACGTTTATTAAAAAATGTTAAAAGACTAATGTTAGACATTAAGGTTATAAAGGTTTAGTAAACATTTATAAAATTCATAAGTGTGCACATATAACTTAAGTACAGATCATGAAAAAAGTACCCTAATTAGGAACTACACAGTACCTTACAAATATATGTAGACCTTGCACATCATTGCTGTAGCATAGTAATTGTTAAATATGAAAAATAGTTCTGTTGGTCATCAACAGGGACTTGAAATCTTGTCAAGACTGATGGGAACATGGACAAAGTCACATACCCTCTAGACCAGTATTGAATTTTCTGCAACCCATTGTAGTGGCAAAGCTTATTAAAAATACAGGGATTAAGTTTGCTGCTCCCCTTGCCAGTCCCTCTCTCCCTCATCTCAGTGGTACTGGATATAAAAAGGCCATTCCATTTGGTTCACATTTAAGGCGTTTTTCTTGCTGATAGAGTTTCCTGATAAGGAACAGTTTCCAAGGCTGAGATTCACCAGCCACCCTAAAAAATGGTCATCTCTGGCACCTTACTGTCTGGGAGATTCCAAGGGAGAATCGCATCCAAGGTGGCTTACAACCCTAATGTCAGAGAGCATGGTTACTCATCCTCCACCTCGATCAGCCAATCAGTAACTGGTAGGGCAGGGTAACGCCACGTGGGTCTCGAATGCCCACGGAACATTCAACCAATGAACGACCGTAGTTCCTCCACATAAAACATGCAGCACAGGGCCCAGAAAGTGGCTCCTCCAAGACATCCTCAGACTCATCTCGGACGGACAATCACGTAACAGCCAGTGTGTTCGAGTGCCAGGACTTTACTATGTTCTAAGAGTCGAGAACGGAGGTCGCCCGCGCGTAACCAAAGGATCCGCCTGAGGTTAGCCCAGCAGCAAGCCTCGTGAACCACCGGTACCCACCGCGAACGCTTGCCTGATCAACAAGTGAACTACGGTCAGAACTGTCAACAGCTGAATATCAGTATTCAGGACTAGCGCTACATTGGGAACGAACTGGTCTTCTTCCCATCTAAAGAGTGTGACTTGCTTGGACCCGCAGTCATTTTCCATGTGCACAAACTCTCGCTAGTTCAGCCAGGACTAATTAGCCGGTCTTCAGAGAGCCGACTGCCAGTGCATCGCAGCAGGAATCTCTCCCTCCTTCTCCCACACCTCAGGCCGAACCAGGACTGCCTGGCAACAGGCCAGAGGATGACGATTGGACGCAGCAACAGCCTGTCGCTGTTCCCTTGTGTCTGTGGGAGATCTGAATCCACACAGATTGGTTGAGTATTCAACATTCTGCATTATAGCTCGAGAATGCAATTGTTACCTCAACCCCAGTTGATGTAAATTTAATTCCTATGAGTGACGTACTCGCTTCGAGTATCTAGTGTAGAAGTTGTAATCAAAGTTCATTTACCAAACAGTAAAAATGAATGGTATACTGAATGTAT